ACCAAACAACAATGATCGCTGCAACCAAAAAATGGCCAGGCGTTGTGGTGGGCACCTGTGGTCCCAGCTACTTGGGAGGCTGAGGCCGGAGACTCGCTTGAGCCCAGGAGTTGGAGGTTGCTGTGAGCGTGATGCCATGGCACTCTACCCAGGGGAAGAGCTTGAGGCTCTGTCTCAAAAAATAAATAAATAAATAAATAAATAAATAAAAAGAAGGAAAATTATTCAGGTTTCTTCTGTTATTTTGATTTCTTTCAGTTTGTCTATTCCTTTCTTTTCTTTTGAGATGGTCTCTCTCTTGTCGCCCTGGGTAGATGGCTGTGGTGTCATAGCTCACAGCAACCTCAAACTCTTAGGCTTAAGAAATCCTCTTGCATCTCTGCCTCCCAAGTAGCTGGGACTACAGGTGCCCACCACGCCCAACTAATTTTTCTATTTTTAGTAGAGATGGGGGATGGGGTCTTACTCTTGCTCAGGCTGGTCTCAAACTCCTGAGTTCAAGCAATCTACCTACCTCAGCCTCTTTGAGTGTTAGGATTATAGGTGTGAGCCCCTGCACCCAGCCAATTTGTCTTTTTCGAGCTGTGTAAGTTGCTTGGGTAATATTATAACAGAAGAACATCTGAGTCGTATAGTATTATAATAACTGGCATATTTTTAGAAGGTGTATGTCATATTCTCTTTTATAAATCATAAAATATATGAAAACTACCTACATAACTTACAGTGAAACGTATGACACTACATCTTGGTTATCTCTTCCTATGAGTACATAAGGAATGTTCACATTTCTCTTCCACCCAAACGTCTGTGAAAATTTTCAAACTTATGATAAAATTACTATAATTGCTTTATCAAATATGTATTTCCCTGTATATATCCACCAGTCAGCTTTTTAAATGCATTTCAAAAGAAGTTGCAAGCATCAGTGACCTTTACTCCTTACACATTTAAACATGCAATCATTAATTAGGTAAATTTTACATGTAGTCATATGCATAAAACCTAAGTGTGCACTTCAGTCAGATATGACAAATGCCTGCACCCCTGTAACCTGACATCTTCATCATCCTGTGGAGTTGCCTCACGATCATTCTTGTCAGTACCACCTCACCTCCTTCCGAGGCAACTGTTATTCTGATTATTTCAACACTGATTAGTTTTATCTGATCTAGGATTTCATATAAATGAGATCATACAATATGTACTTTTATCATACAATATGTACTTTTTTGTGTAAAAAGTTCTTTCATTCAGCGTTATGTTTTTGAGATTTATTACGTTTTACCGTGTAATGGTTTGTTTTTCAAAGTGGTTATAGTCTTTTACACTTCACCTGCCAAACATGAGTCTTAGTTGGTCCTTGCAGTGTTTGGTGGTAGTGTTTTGATTTTGGTCGTTTTGAATATAATTCCCTTCTCCCTCATAACTACTGATGTTGATTAAATTTTCATCTTTTTTTGGCATTCTTATATTTTCTTGTTTTTTTCTTTTTTGAGGGTAGGGCTACAGTCTCACTCTGTTGCCCTCGATATACCCTCTTACTGTAACTCACAGAAACCTCAAACTCTTGGGCTCACGTGATCCTCTTGCCTCAGTTTTTTATTTTTAGTAGAGATATGGGTCTCACTCTTGTTCAAGCTGGTCTCAAATTGATGAGCTCCGCAATCCACCCACCTCAGCCTCCCAAGAGTGATAGCATTCTTAAATGTTGGGTGAAATTCATAAGTAAACCATTTGGGCCTGGAGTTTTCTATGTGGGAAAGTTTTTTGTTAAAGAATTCAGTTTCCTTAATAGACACAGAGCTCTTTAGATTTAATCTAATTTTGGTAAATTGTGGAGGGTTTTTCATAACCTCATCAGGCTTTGTAGCAGTACGGCATGTCTGGTAGATGTGCTGTAGTTCACTTAACTGGTACTTTACTGCCGTAAGTAGTTTCTGATGTTCTACTATTACCATTAGTGATGCAGAGGAAATACTGTTTATTTTATAGTATGAATTTTTTGCTACAGGATCGATTCCCAGAAGTGAAGATTGCTGGGTTTTTCTTTCTCTGCTTTCTTTTTTTCCTCTCTGACTCTAAGGTCATCATGTCCTCCCTTTAGCTCCAGATTAAAGTTGACAGTGTCTGTGCAGTAAAGTGAGTATCATGACCCGATCCAGGCAGCAGAATGTAGTAGGTGTTGTGCCTATTGGAGGTATGGGAGAGGTGAAGTTCAAGGATAAACTGTTAGTATCAACCACATTATTTGGAAGACATGTTTCTGCACAGGAATGGAGTAGTTTGTGGTAGGCTAATGCTTTTACTGAAAACTGGAAAAAATGGGTAAATTTAGAAAATAGTATTTTTAATATTATGAAAAATTATCAAAGGATTGAAATTTACAGAAATGCCAGAGAACCTTTCAGAAGTTAGCTAAAGATTTTTAGGTGTGTTTCCCAGAGAAGAAGCAGCAATTGAGAATCTAAGTTTGGCAAAGGCAAGACAATGGGCTTGGCACCTGTGGCTCAAGTGGCTAAGACGCCAGCCACATACACCAGAGCTGGCAGGTTCGAATCCAGCCTGGGCCTGCCAAACAACAATGACAGCTGCAACCAAAAAATAGCCAGACATTATGGCGGGCGCCTGTAATCCCAGCCACTTGGGAGGCTGAGGCAGGAGAATCACTTGAGCCCGGGAGTTGGAGGTTGCTATGAGCTGTGATGCCACAGCACTCTACCCAGGGTGATAGCTTGAGGCTCTGTCTCAAAAAAAAAGGCAAGACAATGCTGCCTAGGGAAGAGCAGAGCTTTTGTTTATCACAAAGGACTGGAGAAATAAAACCCTTTTAATTGAAAGTCTAGGAGGGCCAGCCATGGTGGCTCACCCCTATAATATTAGCATTCTAGGAGGCTGAGATGGGTATGTTACTTGAGTTCAGGAGTTGGAGACCAACCTGAGCAAGAGTGAGACCCCATCTCTACTAAAAATAGAAAAAACTAGCGGGTATGGTGGCACACACCTGCAGTCCCAGGTACTAGGGAGGCTGAGGCAAGAGGATCATGTGAGCCCAAGAGTTTGAGGTTGCTGTGAACTATGATAATGCCATAGCACCCTATCCAAGGCAACAAAGTGAAACTGTTGTCTCAAAAAGAAAAAAGAAAGTCCAGGAGGAACATTCCTTAGATGAGTCAGTAGCTAACTGGAGGTAGACTGATTATTACCAAAACTGCAACCCAGCCCTGAACCGTTCCTGATTGGATTGAAGTGATCTGTCCTTTTCATAGCAGAACAAAGAGTGAACCCCCTATTAATATAACATCAGCCTGAGTCTCTGTGATTCTGTTATATACAGTGTTCAGTATTCAATGTGACATTACTAGTACTGTGAAGATGGAGAAACTGATGATTAAATAAGAGAAATCACAATCCTTTTATAGTTCATAAACATTATGATTAGATTTTCATGCTCATGTGTAAGATGTACCTCTCTCAAACTTCGTTATGATGTCAGCACATTGTCTGTCTGACATTAAAAAGAGAGCGAAATCATTTTAGTAGCAGATTCTCACCAGATGCGTCGGCTCACACCTATAACTCTAGGAGGCCAAGGTGAGTGGATTGTTGGAGCTCAGGAGTTTGAGACCAGCCTGAGCAACAGCAAGACCCCATCTCTATTAAAGAGAGAAAAATTAGTCAGGGGTTGTTGCAGGCGTCTATAGTACCACCTCCTGGGGAAGCCAAAGCAAAAGGATCACTTGAACCTGTGAGTTTGAGGTTGCTGTGAGCTATCATGATGCCATTGTACTCTACTCAGGGCGACAGAGTAAGACTCTTTCTCACAATAAACAAAAAAGAAGCAGATTCTCGGGTGACCTTAATATTGGAGTTAGTAGATAAGGACTTAAGAGTAATAGCATATGTACACTGAGATATAACTTCATATGCACTAGGATGGCTAAAATAAAAAGACACAACAACTGTTTAGGTAAGGTTGTAGAAAAATTGGAATCAGATATTATTGGTGATGCTTGCTACTTTGCAGACAGTTTGGTGGTTCTTTAGGAAGTTAAATATTGGGCTGGGCAGGGTGGCTCACACCTATAATCTTAGCACTCTTAGAGGCTGAGCCAGATAGATTGCCTGAGCTCAGGAATTAAGAGTGAGACCCCCATCTCTCAAAATAGCAGGGCGTTGTGGCGGGTGCCTTTAGTCCCAGCTATAGTGATCAGGAGGTTGAGGCAAGAGAATCACTTGAACCCAGGAGTTTGAGGTTGCTGTGAGCTATGATGCCATGGCACTCTCTGGAGGGTGACAAAGTGAAATACTGTCTCAAAAAAAAAAAAAAGAAGTTAAATATAAAGTTCCTATTTGGCCTAGCAGTTCTCTTCTGACATATATATCAAACAGAAATAAAAACATACATTAACTCAAAAACTTGTGCACAAATATACATAGCACACTAACATTACTCTTAATAGCTAAAAAGTGGAAATATCCCAGCTGTCCATTAGGTGAATGGATAAGCAAAATGTGGCATATTCACATAGTGAAATATTATTTAGTCACAAAAAGGAATTTTTCTGATGCACGCTGAAAATTGAATGAACCTTGAGAACATTTTGCTGAGTCAAATATGCCAGACACAAAAGGACAAATTTTATATGGCTGTATTTGTATGAAGGATATAGAATAGGCAAATCCATTAAGAAAAATGTAGAATAAACGTTTCCAGCAACTGGGGTAGGAGAATGGGAAGTTACTATTTAACAGATACAAGATTTCTATTTGGGATAATGAAAAATCCAAGAAATAGATAGTGATGATGTTTGCACAGCATTATGAATGTACTTCATCCTACTGAGTTTTACATTTGGTTAATGGTTAGGATCTTTGAAGCCCAAGAGTTTGAGGTGGCTTTGACACCACAGCACTCTACCAAGGGGAACAAGTAAGACTCTGTCTCAAATAAATAAATAAATAAATAAAAAGATGTTTAAAAAGGGAATGAGCTACTGATACATGCTATGTATGACATGGATGAGTCTTGAAAACATGACGCTAAGTAAAAGGCTGTATTTGTAAAAGGAGTGAGTGACAAAAGCCTGTTTTGCATGATAGCATTTATATGAGATACATAGAATCTGCAAATCTATAGAGCGGAGACAGAAGGTGGACTGGCTATTGTCAAGGGGCTATTGGTGCAGGGGGTTGAAGAACTGGAGTGAGACAATGAGATTGGATTACTAACGAGTACGGGTTTCTTTTGAGGGTTATGAAAATGTTATAAAATTTTATTATGGTGTTAATTAACAACCCTTTGAATGTACTTTAAAATCATTCAATTGTATTTCTTTTGTTTGTTTTTCAGACAGTCTCACTCTGTTGCCCAGGCTAGAATGCCGTGGTGCCAGTCTTCCTCATAGTGACCTCAAACTCCTGGGTTCTAGCGATTCTCCTCCTCCAGAGTAGCTGCAGCCAATTAACAATGCCCAGCTAACTTATGGCTTTTTAGTAGAGGCGGGGTCTTGCTCTTTTGTTTTTGTTTGTTTGTTTAAGAGAAAGAGTCTCACTTTGTCACCCTCTGTAGAGTGTGATAGCATCATAGCTGACAGCAACCTCAAACTCTCAGGCTCAAATGATTCTCTTGCCTCAGCCTCCTGAGTAGCTGGGACTACAGGCTCCCACCACAACCTCCAGCTAATTTTAGAGACAAGGTCTCGCTAGTCTCGAGCTCCTGAACTCAAGGGATCCTCTTGCCTGGGCCTCCCAGAGTGCTAGGTATACAGGTGTGAGCCACCACAGCTGGCCTGAATTGTATTCCTTAAAGGAGTGAATCATACGGTTTGTGAATTATAGCTCAGTAATGATTAAGAAACTTAGATAATAAATAGCAATGAAAAAATAATCCATATTAATGGACAAATAGATGGAAAATTACCTGAGAAAAGACAAAGTGTCTATAACAATATGTAATTGGAATCATAGAGAACAGAGAAGAGGACATAAGCAGTATTTGAAGTGGTATTCCCCCAAATTTTCCAAAATTGATGAAAGATACCAACTCACAGATTTAAGGTTTTCTGTGAATTCCAGTCAGTATAAATATAAATTAAACCAGCCATTCCTGGGCACATCTTTGTAAACAGCTTAAACTAAAACCAAATCCCCCACCCCAAAAAAATCTTTTATAATAGCCACAGGGGGAAATAATGACACTCTACCTTCAGTGAAACAACGGTATAAGACTGATAGCTGGCCTGTAACCTCCGGGTAAGGCAGGAGGATTGGTTGAGCACAGGAGTTTAGAACAGCCTAGGCCACACAGGAGACCCCCTTCTCAAAAATACAGGGCAGAAGCAGGTGCAAATTGCTGTCCTCTCAGCAAGTTCAGTAGAAGGCAGGAGACAGACCACTGTGGTTGTTCCAGTAGGACCCACTTGAGCTAAGTATTGGTAGGGAGCAATGGGAGATATATCTATCTTGGGGGAATACAGAAAGATGTTCCTAGAACATGCCAAGGTGGGTACTTTCAGAGAAGTTAATATTTTTCTTTCTCGGCTCGGCGCCTATAGCTCAACCGGCTAAGGCGCCAGCCACGTACACCTAAGGTGGCGGGTTCGAATCCCCAGCC